CTTGTACACGCCTTCAGACTTGAAAAAGGAGCGGTAGTCGTGTTGCACTTTCCCCTTGAACTTCACGTCGAGGATCACGTCGTCCCACGAGGCCTGCGCGGCTCAGCGACTACAGATCCGCCAGTGCACATGGCGAGTGGCGAGTAAATCGGGCACACCCCAGCCAATCGGCGGTTTTGTGTGCTTTGGCAGAAGCGCCCACGCCGCCGCCGTGCTCACCTTTTGCACCGACTCCCACAGACCGTGGTCGGGGCGCCACTGTGACTGGTCAAAGACGAGGATCGCGTCGCGGATCTTGGAGCACCACGCCGCGCAGTCGTGGATGAACTTCGTCGCGGCGTGTTCGTCCTCCCCGATGAGGTGCCACTGGGTCATGAATGTGTACCCGTCGATCCACTGTGACCCCGTCGTCAGCGCGTTCGTCAGCGCGTTCGTCAGCGCGTACTCGAGCCTCAAGGGATGTGGTGCGGCTGAGGAGCCAGAGACGTAGGTAAAGAGACACAGCTGTGTCTCCGCCCCACTCACCGTCGCGACGATCGCCGTGAACTCGTGACTCTCCGTGGCGATGGTGTAAGCCACCAACACCGTGCTCTCCGCTACCGACCCATCTCCATCCCTCCTCCTGAGCGGGGGGACGAACACGACCTTTTTCAGCGGCGTGATGTCGTCGAGCTCCTTGATCATGACTCCGGAGTCCGCCGCGGCGTATCGAAGCGGGTCAAACGTCCTGTCCTGGGTGACCACGACGGACGTGTTGGGGTAGAGCGATGCGATTCGGGCGCGGAGGAAGGTGTCCGTCCCAGAGCGCGAGGCGGAGACTGGGGTCAGCGAGTGTGGATCGAGACGGGCTCACAGTGCTCGACGAATGTGTCGTATACACCCGCATGACCAAGGTCGGATTGCGCATTCGACATGGCGTTGAAGACGTCGAGCACGCAATGATCCGCAGCCGCGGCCATTCGCATCGATGTGAGGGTAGCGCCCACGAGAAGCACCGCGGCGAAGGGTCTCATCGTGTGAGCGAGCGAGAGAGCGAGCGAGCTTGAATCAAGAGAACAACCCGTTCAAGTCAGTGGGAGATGGAGTCTGTGGGAATGTATCTGACCGGCTCCGGATCGGTTATGCATCCCGAATGCCGTGCCGTGCCAAGCAACGACGACGACAACGTCACATGACGACGGCGCCGTCGCCGAGGCGGTGCATCGGACATGAGCGACGCCGAGTCGTGCCGTGGCGTCGGCGCGGCGTCGGCGTCGGCGTGGGCAAAAACGGTACGGTATGTATCCTGAGCACGGTCGCCAAGTTTCAGCGGATGTCCCTGCGGCCATCATACGCCTACATCCACTTGACGATCCCTCCATATACCGAAGCTCGCTGCCCAGTCCTTGCCTCGCTCGCTCGCTCTCGTCGCTCCCGTCGCCGCTCGCGCCCATGGACATCGACAAGTCCCCTCCACCCCGGGCCCGACGCAAGGCACCATCCGCAGGACGATGCCTCGTCTACACCTGCGGACTGCTCGGCGCGCTCGTCATCCTCGGCTTTGTCGGGATGATGATCTACGGCCTGAAAACGATGACGGACCAAGCTCGGAACCCGCACAAGGACCTCATACACGCCACGAAGCCCGACAAGTATCCGTCCCGCCGGGCGGTCGACCCGCTGATAGGCAAGGAGGACAGGTTTGACGTCGCGTTGTCAGTCTGGGCGAGGGTGCCCAATGCGGACACGACGAGACCCCAGGACTACGCCGAGGAAGGGGCGGTGGATGCGGACCCGGCGGATCTCGCGACCGCGGCGATGGTGGGGAAGCCGGTGGTGGAGGTTGTTCGGGACCAGCAGGAGACGCTGCTGTACGAGGGTGTGGTGTTTGAGGACGTCACGATGCGGGACAAGGGACTGGAGCGAAAGTTGCACCTGCAGCTGCCTCTGAAGCGATTGTACGTGTTCCTGGCGACCTCGTGACTTTTGACTCGAGAGATGTGCCAGGTGCATCCTGCTGAGCGCGCAGTAACGACGAGTACATCTGGGACACCGAGGTCCGCGCGGCGATATCCCTCATCCCCCTCTCCCCGAGCAAGCTGGAACGGCTCGAGGACTTTTCAGACTGGCGTCCGGAAATCGCCGCGCCGTTGCCCCGTCTCACACCAGAGTGAGCGGCCAGGATGGCTCCGGAAGCCAAAACCCGGGGATCCCGCTGACGGCCAGGTTCATGGCATCTCGACGACTCCGGAGGGACGGCGGGGACGACACGACCCTGTGGGAGGCGATCGAACGGATGGCCGTGTCCTACTCGATCCTGGAAGTGGTAGACGATCCGTCTCGGTGCCCTGCAAACGGCACGGAAGCGTCGGCATCGTCCAGCTCGGCACCGTTGCCGTCGACCTCAGACCACGCCGACGACGACGACGACCTGTACCTGTGGTCAGATTCCAAGGACCGAGGCGGAAGCAACGAGAGCGCCGAGGCAGCGCAGGAATCCCCACATTTCAAGAGGGCAAAGAACGGCCACCCGTTCGTCGTGACTCGGTGAGCCTGGGGCTTCTTTGCACATGACCTAGTTCATTGCTGGTCCTCCGTGCCATGTGACCGCGCCGCGCTCACCGGACAGATCGCACGTCTACCTCATGGACGAGACTCGGTCGTTCCACAAGATGGACCTGGACATGCAGCACAAGAACCTCCGCGAGACCTCGGTGCGGCGCCGCTTTCACCACGGAATCGCCTGAGCCGATTGGACCGACTCAACCGCTTGTCACGCTGACGCTCGCAGTGCGGACAGCTCATCCGGAACGCTCGCCCCTCGCGCATGCTGTGTAGTCGGGATTACAAGCGCAACGGGCATTGGGAGACGCGCCTGGTGCTGCACCCGGAGGAACCCAACGGCGCAAGGGAGTTGGTGTATGGCCCGTATCTCGGTTCGCTGCACCACGCCGCGGGGCCAAAGGTGGGTCCGGAAGAGCGTGTTCTCGGGGCCTTGTTGATGAACCAGGACTACATCGCGCTGCCCGTCGTTCGAGGCAACTGCACCGGCGCGACCAACGTGACGAGTAGGTACTTGTACAGTAAATCAATGGTACCCGCTGAGCTAGCCCCGCCGCAGCCCCTCAGCCCGACGTGTTCGACTTCACCTACACACTGCGGTTCTCCACGCTCTCGCCCGGTCGGGTGCAGCTCCTCGACAACGGGCCGGGCCGGACGACCCGTCCCGGAACAAACCTCACCGACGAGGCGCTCATCGCGGCGCACGATTCGTGGGAGCAGATCCGTGAGTGGCGGGGTATATCCGACGCTGAAGAGCAGACGGCGTGCTGGGGAACAAGGGCGAGGGCACCAAGCCCTGGACACGGTTTGCGCTCAGCGTGATCAGGTGGGTTCGCAGTTCGTGTCCCACTCCGCGGTGCATCGCTGATGCCTCAGCGACGTCTGTTTGAGCCTCCCCATCAGCATCCTCTCCCTGGTGTACTGGTACACCCGCACGACGACCGCGGGACTCGACACCCCCTCGTGGCTGCTCTTCGCCGCGGGTCTCGTCGGGGAAAAGGTATCATTCCTCGTTTATCTTCATTCATCGGAGCAAGATCTCGGCGCGTGGATCCCGGCACTGCTCTTCACGGCGTGGGATCTGCTCCCTGCGGTGTTCATACTCAAGCTGGTCTTCCCGTTCGAGGTGAAGCGAGTCGGGTGGCGCATCGACGTGAGGAGGTGGAGGTGGGGGCATCGGGAGCGGGCCAGCCGGAGGATCAGCGCGGGGATCCCGTGGTCGCACCGAGCGGCAGTGGGTCATGTTTTCGGAGACTCCAAATAATGGCAGAGTTCAAATAATGACCCGCCCAGATCTTCGCCGTGTTCTTCCTCGTCGCGTGGGTACCTGGACACTACCATCTCTGGCTCATCCGACCTCTGAACCCCAACACAACCCCCCGCACCTCGTGGACCCAATCCGACTGGAGCCATTCCCTCCTCTTCGCGGCGTGCTACACCCCCTACCTTGTCCAGGCGCTCTTCAACGAGCGCTCGAGTACTTTTGCGGGGCAATACGCACTCACGTCGTACCTCGCTTTGGCGCGTACCGCGATCGACGCGGCGTATCACCTGCCCTCGGTGGTCGGCAGGATGGAGGTGAGGACCGGGGTCAAGCCGCTGTGGGTTTTGGACACGGGATTGCAGGTCTGGGCGGTGTGGCAGGCGGCGAGGATGCCGAGGGTGGAGCAGGACGCGGAGGAGGGGGACGAGTGAGCGGACTAGGAGTGGAATATATACACAGGATGAGAATGACACGCATCACTCCCTTGAGTTGCCCGTTGCCAGGAGACCCGCAAAAATGTCTATCGAACAGAGGCAAAATGGACGTTTCCGGGATTCAACTGAAACGATGATTGTACGGTGAATGATCCTCAACCGGCACCCTGGAGTTCCCTACGAGAGACCACCCAAGGTCCGCTGGCTCCATCATCGCCTTAACCATACGATTCCCCCAGCGGCTCCAGCTTCGAACCATCACAATCTGCTCTCACAAGTCTCGAGGTCATTGGTCAAACCCGGGCGCAACCAAGTCCGTGATGTACTGAACACTACAACCTGTGCAACTATCAATCCCGCTCTCCAACCCCGTCGTCATCGAACTGCTTATCAGGCCGGACGTTCATGCCACAGACAAAGAGCAAAGGCACCACAGCCCATGTCGTGGCCAGACATACTCACTGAGACGGACGAGGGTCAACAATGATATCTGCTTGCGCCAAAAACAACAGAAACATCCCGGGATTCGATTCGGGGTCTGTTCGTGACTGTCCAGGCTTCAGAATCTATCACTGCGCTCCCGGGCTGATCCTGAGGGGGGTGGATCAGTCCTGCGTGAGGAGGAATCGCCAGGGAAGTGCGGGGATGCCTACTCCAGCGCCAAAGTGTGGCGAACCCGCGGCAAGGGTGTGGCAATCGTCAACTGTGGCACCACAGCCTATTATATTGTCGTGCCCCCTCCGTTTCTTGTCGAGGAAACAGGTCTCGTAGCTCAGTTGGTTAGAGCGTACGCTTCACATGATTTGCTCTCATACTGGTGCATAATCGTCTGAACGCGTAAGGTCGGCGGTTCGATCCCGCCCGCGATCAAAGAATTCCTTTTTGCGGGCGCACGTGTCACACAGATTTTTGTGTTTTGCACATCGACGCGTAGCCCGGGGTCCTGGCTATGTCGTGGTGGCCTTGGTTCGTCTGTAGCTTGCAATTCGCGTGAGCTATGGCGGTTTGAAAATGGTGGGGTCGGTTTGGGACCGTTTTGGCGGTTTGCACAGGGCGAAGTCGGTTTCGTGGCGAGTGACTCGACGTGTTGGATATATCAAAAGGTAGCCTCGGGTCCGGCGCATCTCCTGATGACGTCGGTTGTGCCGTGCAATGCCTGGGATGCGCGGAATAGCCGTTTGAAGACGCTCGGGTGGCCGGGGAAGTGGGTGTGGCGGACCCAACAATTCGGCGCGGAGGAGGATTCGACGAGGATTCATTGGAAGATTTGGTTTGGATGGCAGATCCATGCAAAGCCCTGGGTCTTGGCTACACTCTCTCTGTGCCATCAGCGCTCTGGCATGTGTGTGAACAAACCTACGGCGGTTTTCCGACCGTTGGGTGAGTTCAAAGCCCGAGTGGCAGTTGCGAATATCAAGGGTGGGGGCGGGTGGGGAAGGCCTTCGCGGCGTGTGACGGATGGGGAAGAGGGCGGGCGACGTTCACCCTCCAACCTCGCCCCAGCGAGAGCGTTCGAGCATGCACGGAACACTCGCGGGGACGGCACTGCGGCGTCAAAGCAGTATTGCGGGGCAAAGATGCAGTTCGAGGTGTTTTCACGGTGGGACCTCGTGTCGGTTCGATCCCGGGAGCGACTTTTGTTTTGTTTAATGAAGCAGTGACCCGATCCGCCATTCTCTCCGCCTCTGACAAATTGATCGCGCTGAACCATATCGCCGCGAGGCCCATCTCCCCTGCGCTTTGCTCCTTGTCTGTCCTCTTCTCGGCGCATCAATGGTTCGTCGCGAAGAGGGCCAAGAGAGGATATGCCCAGCGGCGGTGCCACTTTTCTGAACCTGTGCGTAAGATCTGCTTCCGTTACCGTTTGCCTGTGATGACGAGCCGACTTGCAGCTTGATGTCTACGTCGCCCTCTTGCTTGTCCTGACTGCAGTCAGTCTCTTGGCCCGTGACTCTGGCTCCGACCTCCAGCCCTGCCCTCAAGAGAACAGCCGGCAGTGTCGTAGGGGGACGACCAGCCGGCGCCCTGTCGAGGTGACAGACGGCCAACCCGGCGGGTTCCTGTCCGAGCTGCTCCCCGTCGCATCCGTCGATCCCGAAGCAACGTCGCGTGCCCGCCTCGACTTTTTCGGCGGCCGCGGACTCGACGTCAAGCGTTGCTTCTCTTGGCATGACGCATGTGACACGCACCTGATGCACCGCCCAACTCGGGGTATGCATACATCACCCCTTGCTTCTGAGCAACACGAAACGCCAGCTGCGTCCCCCGGCAAGTGTATATCCCCTCGCAACGACGCATACATCCCCACCTAACTCCCTCTGCTCTCGCTGGGATGCTCCTCACTTCTCCACTGCTCGGCACGATCGTCTCGGGCGGGCTGTTCGCGCTCGCCGCTCCGACGCAGGATGAGCTTGCCAGACGCGAGTTGGCTCTGACAGTGCTGGCGAGGGCGCAACAAGAAGGCGGGCCGGCGCTGGAGTTTGCCCGACAACTGCTTGGGGGAGGGAGCAGCTTTGCGCCGTACACCGTGGCGTGTCCGAGCAATGTCACCTGGGTCCGATCAGCCACGGTGAGTGACGCGGTGACCTCTGCGTCAACGCCGTTGATCCGTCGCAGGGCTTGTCCAGTGGCGAGCAGAGCTACCTCGCTCAGCGGCAGCAATACATCCAAACCGCTGTGACCGCGCAGGCTGCCGCGCACGGCATACCCACACCGCCGAGGTTACCTGTTATCGGGTTCGCCCTGTCAGGAGGAGGATACCGCGCGATGCAGTGAGTGCGGCGCGTCTTAGCCGTGTCTGGAGTGGACCCCGCTGATCGGTCAGGGTCGGACTCGGCGGAGTAATGGGCACGATGAACCAATCCGCCGAAGCCGCCGCGAGCGGTATCGGCGGGTGGTTTGACGCGGTGAGCTACCAGGCGGGACTGAGTGGAGGCAGCTGGGGAACTGGGAGCTTCATGGCGAACGGAGGGGCGCTGCCGACAGACCTGGTGAACAATGTGAGTGGGCGTGTGGCCGGCCGCCAGATCAGGCCATGTAGACCCTTGCTGAGCTCTCAGGTCTGGGACCTCAGCTCGAATCTGATCTTACCTTCCGACAACAAGGTGTCGTTCTACTATGACCTGGTGTCCGAGGTCGACGCGAAGGACTCCACCGGATTCCCAGTGCAGCTGGTGCGTAGCGAGTCTCACTCGCCCCCGGTAACGCTGCGGCCCCGTTAACGCTGTGCCCTTGCTGACGCTTTACAGACCGACTACTGGGGCCTCGCCCTCGGCAACCACCTCCTCCCGACTCAATACCGCCTCGACACCTCTCCCAACCTCACTTTTTCCCAGCTCCCCTCGGCGGTACCCGCGCTGGGCAACGCCAGCCTCCCCTTCCCCATCATCATCGCCGCGGAGTGAGTCGGCGTGTCGAGCGATCGAGACCCAGACTCGTGCTGAAGCGTCAGGCGCGAACCGGGAGAATACGTCATCGCGGAGAATGCGACGGTGTGGGAGTTCACCCCGTACGAATTCGGCTCGTGGGCGTTTGGGAGCGACACCAAGGTCAGAGGAGCGTTCACCCCTCTCGAGTACCTCGGCAGCCAGGTGAACAACGGGCAGTCGAATGGGACTTGCTGGAAAGGGTTCGACCAGCTCAGGTGGGTCCGGCGCGTTGCCCGTGTCATCGCTCACCGTGCAGCTTCGTCATGGGCACCTCGTCGACGCTGTTCAACGCCGGACTCCTCACGCTCAACGGGACCAACTCGGACTCTGTCATCGTCGACGCGATCCAGTCGGTCCTGTCGTCGCTCAGCGCCAACGAGAACGACGTGGCGCTGTACCCCAACAGCTTTGCCAACTGGAACCCTCAGCCCAACCCAGTGAGCGCGATCCATGCCACTCCAGGCCCCGCTCACCTTGCAGATCTCCAACTTTACGTACATCACCCTCGTCGACGCCGGGGAGACCAACCAGAACGTCCCGCTGGAACCGTTGCTCATTCCCTACCGCGAGACCGACGCCATCATCGCATTCGACTCTTCCGCCGACACGACGTACTCGTGGCCCAACGGCACGGCCCTGCGCACGACGTACGAGCGCGCCGTCGTCCTCGCGCAGAACCAAAACGTGTCCATCCGGATGCCGCGTGTCCCGTCGATGAACGGGTTTGTCAACGGCGGGTACAACACCCGCCCCACATTCTTCGGCTGCGAGGCCAACGGGACCACGCCCATCATCGTCTACGTGCCAAACTACCCGTGGAGCTACTACGGCAACACGTCGACGTACCAGCTCTCGTACGACAATGCGACCGCGCAGCAGGTCGTTCTCAACGGGATGAGGTCGTTCACGCTCAACGGGACCGTGGAGACTTGGCCGAAATGTCTCGCCTGCGCGCTCACGGACCGGTCGTTTGGATACACGGCGAGCAACCGGTCGTCAGAGTGTCAACAGTGCTTCAACACGTGGTGCTGGGACGGTACGGACAATACGACGACGCCAGACACGTACGAGCCCGTCGTGGGGATCGCGCCGAGCTTCCTTGTGCAGAAAAACCTGACGAATGCCACGGGCACGGCTGCGGGAGTCACGGCGACGTCTGGAGCCGCAGCGGCGACGAGCAAGAGCGCCGGGGACAGGGCGGCGTTGGTCGGGAGTGGTCTGTGGGCGGGGGTGGTGCTTTTGTCTGCGGCGCTGGGGGGTGCGTGGGTGGTGATGTGAAGTGCGAGCGGTGTTAGAACAATGTGGTACCGCGCCGGGTCGTACCGACATCAAGACGTTCATGCATGCATCTGTGCTCTAGCCTGTGCCGGATGTCCATCGACTTGTCCTCACCGTACAGACCGGCTGATGCATACATGAATGCGGATGCTAGGCAAAGTGCTGGATTGCACGCGCGGTGGAGGTGGTCCACCCCGACGCGAGTGGGCTGGCTACATTTCCGTTCAAAGTTCTCAACTCAAAGTCAATTTCCCCTTGTCATTTCCCATGTTCTCTGTACAAGCACACTTCATCGCCACCCATGTATCTCCGTCTTGATTTTTGTACATCTCCCTGCTCATCGCCCACCTCTTCATCGCCCCCACCATCGCCGTGACCGACCTGATCGATCTCCACGATGGCTCCCTCACGACCAAACTCGCCGCCCCCACCCACTCTCAAGCGGCAACGGTCACCCACTCCCCCACCCTCCGGCACCATACAAGACCTCCACTCGTATCGCGACGGCGAGCACGCTCCCTCACCCGAAACACAGTCCAACGCCTCTTCCAAGCGTTTCTGCGGGCCCAGGTCGAGCCCTTGCTTGAGCGCCGCCTCTGCGTCGACCGGATCAGACGTATCCACCGTGTCGACCCGTAACAAGCGCTCCCACACCGATTCCAGCACCGGCGCGTCCAAGCGGCAACGTCTCCTCTCCCCGGACCCCTTCCACCCGTCCACGCTCAGCAACCCCGCTGCAATCCCGCCCACCCCATCCGACACCGCCGCGACCCGACTCCCCGACGACGTCTTCGAGCTCATCTTCACCCACCTCAAAGCCGCCACCATTGACCAGGCGCTTCCGCCCATGCCGATCCGATCGCGCGACGTTCACGAGGCGGCTCCGAACAACTCGCGCTTGACCCGGGGCGAGGTCACGGCGTACAAAAAGGCCATGATGCGGAAGCAGCTCTTTGACCTCGGCAAGGTGTGCAAGAACTGGTGGAACGGCGCGAGCCGCGCTTTCGACGAGGTGGTCATCATTGGCGATAGCGACGTCTTGCGCGCCTGCCGCAACCCCACCAACTGGCTTCCGCTCGAGACTGGTCGACCATTCAAGCTCACGCTGCAATGCGCCTTTGGACCGTTTTACGCCCTCGTCAGAGCCATGCTCCGTCACCGACC